CAACACAACAACGGGTTGTCTGATTCTTCTGAAAATTTCAGGGCAGATGGATTTTGACCCGATGAACATTTTTATTCTGTTAGTTTCAGAGATATAAGCCAAAAACTGCATTTTACTTCCATGTTCTATTTTTAGCCATGGCGGCCATCTTGGTTGGTGGGCAGTGTCATCGGATACAACTTTTAAACTAGATACCCTAAGGATGAATAAGGCCAAGTTTGGTTTAATTTGGCCCAGTAATTTCAGATGAGAAGATTTTTGTAAAAGTAAACGACGACGACGACGACGACGACGGACGACGGACGCCAAGTGATGAGAAAAGCTCACTTGACCCTTTGGGTCAGGTGAGCTAAAAAGAGAAAACACAAAGTGTGTATTATGCAACTGAGATGTCATTGGTGATGAATACCAGGGCCATTACATTTTTGATTGTTCAGCTTTTGATAACTGTAAAACAATGTATTACATTTCATTAAAGGAATAGACCTAACACTTTGAGGTTTCATGATTGAATGAATTCCAAAACATGTTCAGAACTGAATGAGCTGTAAACCAATCAAGAAGATCAATAACAAATTGAACTTTTCTGTGTGAACAATCATAAATGTCTTTATCTACTTTCGTTCATTATTCATGTAATTGTATTGAAATATGTATAATTATCTCTATACCTAATTTGGTTTGTGAGAATAAAGATATAATCTAATTGTTTAATTCACCATTTTCTACATAAGAAAATGCCTGTACCAAGTCAGGAATATGACAGTTGTTTTCCATTTGTTTGCTGTGTTTGAGCTTTTGATTTTGCAAATTGTTAAGGGACTTTCCGATTACTGTTTAGTCATTTTTGCTACTGTACTTCGTCTATATGCCTTTTTGTGTTTCTTTGTTACATATCACGTGGCTCTGTACGTAAACATCCCGTCATTGTGTTATTGTGCTATGGTATATATTTGTATACTTGTCCTTCATTTTTGCTAATGCGCTTTGTCTAAATACCTTTTTGTGTTTCTTTGATACATATTTATTTGTTTTATAGTACAATGTTGACTGCTGTACCCCTATTTTTAACATTTTTACCTATTATATCTGTTTGTTTTGTTCACACATCGTTGTCAATATAATGGAATTTTATGCGAATGTCATACAAGTGAGAAGTTTAGCTAGCTATACAACCAGGTTTAATCCACTATTTTCTACATAAGAAAATGCCTGTACCAAGTCAGGAATATGACAGTTGTTTTCCATTCGTTTGCTGTGTTTGAGCTTTTGATTTTGCAAATTGTTAAGGGACTTTCCGATTTGAATTTTCCTTGGAGTTCCTTATGTTTGTTGTTTTACTATATATATATCCTCCTGTATACTCATGCCATCCTTGATGCTCGACGGTAAGCAAGTAAGCATCAATCAATCAATATGAGACATGTATACTTAAATCACCATATATCTGATTATTTTTTCTGGATTCCTTTATTATTTGATACCAAATATTGCGATTATCTGAGCAAATGTTATTACATGCTCAAGTAATATCAACGCTGTGATAATTAGATATAGATATAGATAGTTGGATACTTAAATTAATCAGTCTGATGACATCAGTTTTGATATCGTTAATCAATAAAGATTAAAGAGGGTTAAATACTTATAAGTCGTCAAACCCACAATACGTTAATACATCCATTATGATTTAACTGGCTTCATACATGTATGTATGCAATTATCAGCCCGTTAATATCAAATATGATTATATATCATTGCATTGTATTATCCCAGCATATTAGTGCTTGCAAAAACGTCACCAAAAATATCAAACTCATTATTTTGTACGCGTGTCTCGTCTGCAGAAGACTCATCAGCGACGTTCGAATAAAAAAAAAGTTAAAAGGTCAAATCAAGTACGAAGCTGAAGTGCATTGAGGATCCGAAAAAACGAAATCTCAAGTCAAATATAGCTGCGGTAATCTATTCCTGTGTAAACAAATCCTTCGTATTTTGAACAATTCAAAGTCATCTAAACAGCTAGTTCATAAATATGACCATGTCAATGATATTTCATGTCAACACATAAGTGCGAAAACAGTTTAACGGTACACAAACCCTTTCTTGTTTTTGATTTGTTTGATTACAAAATGTACCCCAATTTTGAGGTCTTTGACATTGCTTCCACAAACGGTTTGTATACATTATCTACAAAAATATAATTTAATACATAGTACAACTTGTTTTCCATTATAATTTTAATACATTTTGTTTATTTTTTCAAAACTTACACTAGGCTTTTTTTGATAGAAAAATAAAAAAATATAAAAATCGATAAATCAGAAAAAAATTAAAAGCAGACAACACCGTATAAAGGCAATAGTAGTAAAACGCTGTTCAATAGTCATAAATCGATTTAAGAGCCACCCCTCCCCCATTTAACTGAAACAAATCCGGGTCAAAACCAAAACTGAGGGAAACACATCAACTATAAGAGGAAACAAAACGGAAAGACAGAAACACTGAACTTCTACAAAAACAATCGCCAACATACATAGAAACGGTTCGTACGCGTGTCTCGTGTATAGAAGACTCATCAGTGACGTTCGAATGAAAAAAAAGTTAAAAGATCAAATCAAGTACGAAGCTGAAGTGCATTGAGGATCCGAAATTACGAAATGTTTAGTCAAATATAGTTTCGGTAATCTATCATATCAAAGTGAAAAAACGAATATCAATGACCAACGTCAGTTTCGATACATAATTTGATAGCAAAAAATCATATCTTCTGTGGAATCTTTAACATAGAACACCAATATTAATTTCGACATTACGTTGGCAATAATCAAGATGTAATTTTAGAATAATATTTTCCGGTTTTCAACAAACTCAGAGAATGAAAGTCTCATTTCATGTCAATATCCCCTGTATCGAAAATCATCCATATTTTCTCCCTCTCCTGTTTGACCGTTTGTTGACGTTTTCCAATACTTCACTCCTTGTGTGAACGTAGATTTGTCGTTATGAATACTGCTGATGTCTTTGCATATTTTAATCCCTTAGTTTGTGTTTTTACCTTGTCTTCTTAATCGATTTATGAGATTTGAACATCGGCAAACTACTAAATCAAAACGGTGTACGTTTTGAACAAACCTGGTCGGTTTTATGCGTAGTTTTTTTTTATTGTTTTTATTTGTTCATTTGTAATTTTTCTATTTACTGCGCTTTAAAAATTTGTTTTTTTTATTCAGATTAACTGGAAATCTCTACTTCTCCACCCTTTACGATAGTATAATTCATTCTTCACTTGAAGATGATTAAAAAAACTGATTGAACTTTGTTTTATGAGAAGGGATACCCAAAATAGAAACAGATATCTTGTGTTAGGAAGGGATAGATAATATGTTGTAAAAAAAAAAACATCACTCAAACAAATCATTCTGTAAAAACTGATATCATGAATTTTTACTGACAACATATTTGTTAAGTTTGGGGGACATGTTTTTCGACAAAAGATCGCTTCATGCCGATATAAACAAGATACAAACTTCTTACAGGAGTTTCGCAGGAATTATTTACAGAAGTTAGCATTGTCCTATAACTTCACGTTCCGATATATAGGTGATGTCCTCTCACAAAATGATTAAAGTTTGGTGACTATACTGAACACATCAAATGCAATGAACTTGAAATAGAGGATAACAAAAATACAGCTAAGTGTGCCAGTTTTCTTGATATATATCTAGAAAACGTTTACGACAAAAGGGATTTCAGCTTCCTAATAACGATTTTTCCATGTTTATGCATCACCATTTAAGCAGCGCCTGCATATGGAGCATATATCTCCTAGTTGGTACGATTTTCCAGAGCTTACATGTCCTATCATGATTTCTTTAAAAAGGGTGTTGCTGCTGAAAACTTTTGAACCAAGGGTTGCAAGAGGTAAAGATTGACGTCACCCGTTCGAAAGATATACAGACGTCATCACGAGTTTGTTAACCGTAATGAAATGTCTGTCGCACAGATGACCACAGTCAAGTGTCGTTAACAAAATCTCGTTATCTTTCCCTTGATTATGACATCACCAAATGAGAATTATCACCGGGTCTGTACTTGCATGAGCACCACGAAGAGTTCCGCATGTGATGCGGGAACTGCAAACCCCACCAGAGCCCCTAAATACATCCCCGTTTTTTGGTGGGTTTCGTGTTGCTCAATTTTTTTTAGATTTCTATGTAGTGTTTTGTGGACCTGTTTGTCTTCTCCGTCTTCTTAGTATTTTTGTGCCTTGACGTTGTCTGTTCTTCGACCTATGAGTTTTACTAAAACATTTTCTATCTTACGCCACTTTTGTTTGTTTTAAAAGTAGAAATTCCAAGAATTCCAATTGGGAAAAAATATTAAAATTTTAACTGAACAGTTTAAGGCCCACAATACACTCATGTGTAACGGGATTTCGTGAACTAACTTATTGGGTCTTTTTTATACAATCGAATTTTTGGATTTACTATTTAAATAATCTGAGAATATATGATAGACGTCGCTTTTTAATCATCTTTCCATCTGAAAACTGATAATTTGTTATTAAGCTTTGTAATATTAAATTACAAGTAGACATTTTAAAGCAGATTATATGGGGTTGTTTTCCTATAGAGGTAAGTATGCATCAATCAAATCAGGTTAGTAAAAAATGTATCATGAATCACATCTGAGGACAGGTGAGAGATCATATTCAAGGCAATGAACGTTCGAAAAATGTTCCATTATTATCGTACTTGAAGTTAGCCTTCATCATAAAATTCCAAATTCAATGTCAGTAAAAAATCATCAAAGATAGTTATATTTGTCGTCCATTTATCATGTTCGTGATACTTTTGGAAAAAACCAAAATCTCTTCCAAACCATGAAATGGAAAACCATTTCGTAAATTCAAAATTTAAATTCATAATTTCAGGATTTATATAACATATTTTGTATGAAAATATTTTATCCTACACTGATGGTTATGTACCAGTATACACTGAAAATTTAAATTAGTCACTATGACTATTCAGTTAGTCAAATATTAGCCGAAAGGTAGTCAACAGCATATATGACTACCCATCAAGTCATTGTGACTACCTGCACGGTCAATTTGACTTTGTTAGTGGTCACAGCACCACGTGGTGTAGAGTATCAGTTTTCACGCGCACTCTTTCGCGTTCCCTTTGTTCCCTAGATCGTGTAGATGTAAACAAACCAGGAGGCATGAAACTGTTATTTTGTCAATTAAACCAATTGTTTAAAGTAAGTATTATGTATATTTGTTTTAATTATAACTTACAAAAATTAAATTTAAGAAAAAGTGTAATGAATGTAAAATCGGCACATGTTGACGTAATGACAATAAAAAAGGGGGAGATATGTATACGGGATATCAATTCTGATACACATACAACGTATTGTCGATTGAAAAGAGTATTTAGCGATATCTTTTTTTCACCTGACCAAAAACTGTTGAAAATAAATTTAACACTGTAATCGATATTCACAACAAAAATAAAAAAAAAACTCAGATTGGCTGTCAAATTCCTGCTGCTTACATTACAATGCTGTAATATAGGATGGGTGGCTGTCAAGATCCTGGTGCTTACATTACAATGTTGTGTTATAAGATGGGTGGCTGTCAAGATCCTGGTGCTTACATTACAATGTTGTGGTATAAGATGGGTGGCTGTCAAGATCCTGGTGCTTACATTACAATGTTGTGGTATAAGATGGGTGGCTGTCAAGATCCTGGTGCTTACATTACAATGTTGTGGTATAAGATGGGTGGCTGTCAAGATCCCGGTGCTTACATTACAATGTTGTGGTATAAGATGGGTGGCTGTCAAGATCCTGGTGCTTACATTACAATGTTGTGGTATAATATGGGTGGCTGTCAAGATCATTGTGCTTACATTTCAATGTTGTGATATAGGATGGGTGGCTGTCAAGATCCCGGTGCTTACATTACAAGATAATAGTATAAGATGAGTGAATAAATCACTAGATCAAAGATTTTAAAATTTGTTTTATTCTTTTAACTTTTAACATGACTGATATACTTGTTTATTGTTATATTTTAGCTTTTAAAATGAAATAATTATATTTTTCAGCAAATGAAGACATTGCTATATTTGTATGAACACAGCTGAGAGATTTTTGACCAGAGAGAATATTACACTGACACATGCAGAGTTGATACCGACAAAATATCTAAAATTAACACTTCAAATTCTGACATACTGAAAATGTATAAATTATATATTGAAGTTGGGATATCATAATGTATGTAACAATGAGTTTATAATAAATATATTTTCTTTATTTGATTTTTAGACTTTAATATATGTCACTGAGTAATGGTAACACATGGAAACTTAAGATATAGGAAGGTTTTGAACATTGAGCACTTTGTGGTCCTATACTGATGTCATTGTTAGTTTTGCTGCTGTGGTATTTTTAATGATATTATATTTCAAATAACAGAAGAAATGAAACATAAAAGTACAAAACGGATGGAAACACACACAAAGTAAAATGGTAGAACAAAAAACACAACACAAATTAAAATAACAGTCTAACAGTCGTGACTGTTCACAGTAATCATGTTGACTAACCAACATGGTCACTTTCGACCATTTCAATAAGTCATATGGACTGCATTCAATTGTCAAACTGACAAATGTGCATAGTCAATTGAACAATCCAATTCGTCATAACGAGTATAACATATAGTCATTTTGACTTCCTAACATAGTCATAAATACCAGCCTACTCAGTCAAATGTGACTAACCATCTAGTCAAACGACTAAGAGCATAGTCAAAATGATTAAAATGCATTGTCATCTAGAGGACAGTCAAAATGACCAATTAAATTGGTCAAATTGACTAATTTAGGTTTTCAGTGTAGGATAAAACCGCCTGAAGCCAATGTTTATATAGAATACATTGGATACAACAGTGAAAGTTAAGATTGTATATATACTTCAATAATTGAGGAGCCAAAGGAACAAAACGACCTACAAATTAATCAAATCAATCATTGAGTTAGTTTCCTTAAATTTATCAACGGAGAATTTTATGAAGTTATGTTCAAAGGAGTAGGTCCGGTAACAACGATAAAACGGCCCAATTTTTTATGTATATGGGAACTTTAAAATTAAACAAATTTATTGGTTTCATTACCCTAATGAATAGTTTATTAAAGTATATGTACAAGGAATAGTCGTAAAACGCTGTTGTTGGTCTGTAATTTATCATTCACGTTACATGATTTTGTACAAAATGGTGAAAACGGCAATTTTGTGTTGGTGAACAAGAAAATTAAGTTTGGCCGCATGCGTGTTCATTCATAATATTTCATGTATAAATGAATTTCTAACAAATCTGTATCCATGCAAAATATTTTAAATGAACACGATTGCGGCCACACTTAAATTTAAACTTTTCTATCGTATTTGGTTGAAATTTTCCGTTATTGTCCGTGTTTGTGTTACGCAGTATTTTGTTTATTTACATTTCCGGTTTCAGCAGAAGACAAGTGATTACACATACACAACCAAATTTGATAAGCGATTTAATATTTATTTCCACTCCAAATCCTTTAAACGAACTTATTTTCAAGATATATGCATTGCAAAGTGAGTCCGAATTGTAGGAAATCGTTAGTGATAGAAATATGACAGGGTAAACACTGCGAACATTTGACCGAGACACGTGTTTACATTTTTAATTAGGCCACCCATCGGTTCAGTGTACAATGTAGTACAAGTCACATGCATTAGAACTTGAATAATAGAATTTGAAAGAGTAATTTTCAACATGAGCGACAAAACTTTCAATGAAAAAGTACTAGATAGAAGGAAGAACATGTATTGACTATTGACCTGTTTTAGTTTTAGCTATAAGCATTGAAGGAATCCGGTGTCACACACTTGATGCATTACAATTTACACACTGTTTTGTCTCGGTTTTCTTGTGGTAGCATGTTCACCTCGAGTGCAGTAAGTCATGGGTTTAAACCCCTGCTGATAAAAAGGAGTATAATAAAGGAGCAAAGATTGGTTGGATAGGAGTCTGGGTAAGGTGACATGTCTTCTAGTTAATGTTTGCCTTGTGAACTTGTGTTGTAAAAATCCAAACTCCGTGTTTATGTCTAGTACAATGCATCGCCAAGTTATTTCTCATAGCATTATGCCAAGTTATTTCTAATACCAAAAAATTACCATTACACCAAGTTATTTTTTATAGCATTACACCAAGTTATTTTTTATAGCATTACACCAAGTTATTTCTTATAGCATTACACCAAGTTATTTCTTATAGTATTACACCAAGTTATTTCTTATAGCATTACACTAGGTTTATTCTTATATAAAAAAAAAACTTTAAAATTAAGCCATTTCCATTACTTAATCACACACTGAAGCATAGGAGTGAAAAGATCACAATAAATGCATTTAAATTTTAATGTGGTGATCCTGCCAATAGGCATGATAGGGTGGATGGAGAAAAAAGAAGATAATCAAGCATCTTAACTGATTATAATGTTTCTCTTTCAACAAATTGTCCATGTCAGTTATTAAGGTATATTGCAAGTTCAAAATACATAATGAGATAATAAAATTTGAGAGTTCTGTGGTGAGGTATATGTGGCAAAGGAGGCGTTAACTAACAACTTAAAAGCTTATTATTTCAGACCTTGATGCTTCATACTTGTAGATTCCTTATGTTATGAAGTTTCCATCTGTCATACATGTATGTTCATCATGTTCATTGTCCTTGATCTCATTTTTCATGGTTTATTCACTTCTTGGAAAAAAAAGTTAACATTTTTTCTGTAATCTTAATTTATCTCTTATTATGAGTAACAGGATGACTAATCTGATCTTGGCCTCACTTTATGGTACATTGGTCAATGTTAAGTTTTCTGGTAAAGTTTTTTTTTAGATACAATATGCAATAGGTCAACTATATTGAATGCATGGAATGATTGTAACTAAGGTGTACATTTCTGTCTGGCAGGTTTCTTCTGACCTTGACCTCTTTTCATGGTTCATTGAGCAGTATAAAAGTTTCATGGATCTGGTCTGTTTCTTGTATACTTTAAGCACTACTTAAATTTTTGTTGGTGTATGGAATGATTGTAGGTGTACATATACTTCTGGCTTGGTTAATATTACCATGATACATTTTCTTTGATTATGTTAAGTTTATGTGAAACTTTATTTACTTCATTTCACTACTATACAGCCATTTTGTTCTTATTATCTTGAAACTGTTCATAATCCCATCTCTAAGCAAAATAGATTCTTTATAAAGTCATCGCTTTTTCAGTTTACAACAAGTTTTTGTGCCCTTTCCATTCTATCGTAAATTGTTAGATATATAAAAAGCTGTTGAGATCTTATAACTGTATATATATGTACATGTATGTATAATCTGAGTAAGCCATGATTCAACTTTTTCAAGTGACACATATATTTTGTTCTCAAGATCTTCATGATTTTCAATTATAAGGTTGTGAAATATCGGTTCTTTAGAGAACAATTCATGATTAGCAAAATGATAAGGCAATCACATTTGGACTGAATTTATTTCGGCATCAGCCAATTTCATTTCTATATGTAAGATGTGTTTTTAAAATGTAACCAATAATATTACAATGATATTTGGTATATGAAGATGAAAAAATTTGGTATGATTGCCAATGAGACAACTCTCCACTGAAATTAAATGACATATTTTAAAACTATAGTCACTGTACGACCTTCAACAATGAGCAAAACACATACTGCATAGTTATGCTGTTATTATAATATTCATTTCAACAGTAATTATTTGGCCCTGAACTCCAGTAGATGGCTTTTGAAAGGTTTGGATTGGTATATGTTTTTCAGTTTGATAGGAACATTTGAATTAAAATTACATACAAGCAACATATATGATTATCAGAACAATTTATTAAAAAAAAATTATTTATGCATTATTAATTCATGATTCCTGCATAATTTTTATGTTGTTTTTTTTCAGTTCTTTTGTCTTAAAGATGTTTTTTGATTGATTGGGACGTATACTTTCCAGTTCTACAATCTCAACATTTCTGCATATCAATTTTACAGGTAATAAATCTGTTATACCTTTAATACTTCTGTTGACTTGTGTTATTTTTTTATAATTATAAAAATCAACATGCATTTTCATTTCACCATCAGATAAATGATATATGTTATTTGCACAATTTTTGGCTTGTAAAGCACAATATAAACTGATACTAAAGGCAAACTCACACACACATACACTATTTGTAGATTCAGTCATTGTAGGAAAATATTTAAATTATATTTGTACAAGCTTATAAACGGAGGGAAATTACGGGGCTCTTCAAATATAGTTTTTATCATGTAATTCGATATTTAGATATAAGAAGATGTGGTATGAGTGCCAATGAGACAACTCTCCATCCAAGTTACGATTTGTTAAAGTAAACCATTAGACAAAAAATAATGAGTGTGTTTCCTATTACATCTTTAAAAAAAAATAAGGTAGGTAGGAAGGGATTTTTATATGACCGCAAAAAATTTTGCGGTCATATATTGGTATCACGTCGTCGTCAGCATCGTCCGAAGACATTTGGTTTCCGGACAATAACTTTAGTATAAGTAAATAGAAATCTATGAAACTTAAACACAAGGTTTATAACCACAAAAGGAAGGTTGGGATTGAATTTGGGGGTAATAGTCCTAACAGTTTAGGAATTAAGGGTCAAAAAGGGGCCCAAATAAGCATTTTTCAAGTTTCCAGACAATAACTTGTGGAACGGTGTATGGATCTCTCTGAAATTATACCACAAGTTTCCATACCACAAAGGGATAGTTAGGATTGGTTTTGGGGGGTAATAGTTTAGGAATTAGGAGCAAAAAAGGGGGAAAACAAGGGTTAATGGACAATTACTTTTAAGTACAATGTTTTGTGTTTGGATTACCTCCCTTACACTGTTTTTAAATTAAGTATATAGAAATGTTGTATTGTCTTGAGGTGATTAGCTGTCAATTTATTTTTATACGACTGCAAAAAATTTTTGAGATCGTATATTGGTATGACGTTGGCGTCGTCTTCGTCCGAAGACACATTGGTTTTCGCACAATTACTTTAGTTTAAGCTAATGGATCTCTATGAAGTTTTACCATAAGGTTCAATACCACAAAAGGAAAGTGGGGATTGATTTTGGGGATAATTGCCTCAAAATTTTAGGAATTAGGGGCCAAAAAAGGGGCAAAAAACAAGCATTTTTCTAGTTTCATGACAATAACTTGTGTGTTAGTGTATGGATCTTTCTGAAATTGTACTGCAAGGTTCCATATCACAAAGGGAAAGCTGGGTTTGAGTTTGGGGGTAATTGCCCTAAACGTTTAGGAATAAGGGGCCAAAAATAAGCATTTTTCTAGTTTCCAGACAATAACTTGTGTTCAAGTGTATGGATCTCTTTGAAATTGTACTGCAAGGTACCATACCACAAAGGGAAGGCTGGGATTGATTTTGGGGGTAATTGCCTTAAAATTTTAGGAATTAGGGGCCAAAAAGGGGAAAAAACAAGCATTTTTCTAGTTTCAGGACAATAACTTGTGTGTAAGTGTATGGATCTTTATGAAATTTTACTACAAGGTTCCATATCAAGCGTGAATATTGTGTCCATTTTTGCCCCAACTGGTCAGGGTTGCACCTCTGCAGTCGTATCCAGCTGCGCTCGGTGAAGCAATTTATTTTTTATTTTACCATTTTTTTTTACATTGAGTCTATGGGAGAGACATTCTACTTATTGAAATATGACAAAAAAACTTCAGGGTAGGCTATATTTTAGCTTAAAAAATAGGGAGGGTAGGGTAATAGGAAACACACATCATTTTTTATTTGGCCTTATACATGTAGGTCAAAGTACTGTCTTCAACATAGAGCCTTGGCTCACACTGAATTACCTTTTTAGGTCAAAAGTCAAGGTCACAGTAACTTGTTTTTGTATGCCACTCACAGCCTTTCAATAATGCATCCAAATGTATCAAATATGTTCAGCCTAAGTTCTATGAACAACATGATAGGAACTCGCATTCTGATATCAAATTATATATCTGTTTGTAGCTTTTCCTAAAATCGCAATAATTAAACTCTATTTTTATTTTTAATTGTTGAAAGGTCACAAATATAAATGCAAACAAACACACAATTTTAGTTAGGGGCCAGCTGAGGACCACCTCCGGGTGAGGGATTTTCTCGCTGCATTGAAGACCCATTGGTTGCCTTCGGCTGTTGTCTGCTCTTTGGTTGGGTTGTTGTCTCTTTGACATATTCCCCATTTCCATTCTCAATTTTAATAATTACTGAATTTGCAGTAAACAAAATAGTAACTTACAGTTTTATGTTATATTGCTGTTTTAGGTACAAAAGATGTAGACAACTTTTTGGTTTAGATTACAGATCTAACAAGCTTGAGTGTACACCATTTTTCAACTACAGTCTATAGAGGTAATATGCTCATCAAATGATAAGTAATTTTGTTCTATTTTTAAAAATTTTAATGGTTTAACTATGTTTCCCATTAATATTACATTATTCATACATATATAGCATACCATAATGTGTAATTTAACACTATGATCTGCTTAATCCAGTGTTACTTTTTAAAGAACATCTGTTAACAATGTAATTTATATTGAATCAAATTTAAACACTTACAGAAAAATATATGATTTTGTCAAAATGTCCACAATGGCGTGATCATTGATTATTAATCAGGGTGATGAACCGATCAACTATCTAATACAAATTGAAGAGGATTTTATAAATTATTATATAGAAATGGTATCCACAAATGCCATTTATAAATAAAATCAATGTAACGAAATATTTAAGATCAGGATATCTGAATTGCATTTTGGTCAATGGTTCTGGCAATGGCAATGCTAACATACTTTTTATATATAATTTTATCATTTTGTAGGTCTTAAAGATGTAGATTCATCTTGCTTGTTTTTTATGACAGTTTGGCTGTGCCTGCAACTGTGATGCAGATCTTTCCTGTTCCAGTGCATAACTTGTCACTCAGCTTTCAGAGGTAATATAGGTTCAATTCATATGCAAAGCCTACTGATGAGTCCCATTGCATATGATTTAATTTTTAACATTTTATAAGGGACGAAACTCACAAGGCCAAACAGAAGCTGAATTTATTACAGTTATAGTATGAATACAATCTATTTTCACTGATATTTCATGTCTTGCTTAAATTTGACTTTTCAAAATATTTGATCATTTTTACTTAAAGTAAATACATAAATATTCAGCTTGGCATTGGGAGTCTAGGCATTATGTTAGTACTAGACAATATAATACCAAATGGAAAGAAAACATGTGAAGAACCATATGAGTCACTGCCATATGTTTTCACTCAGAGCTATCTTCATTGCCAGTGTTATATGAATTCATAGAAGATATGTTGTAGGATTACCAATGAAACTATCAAACAGAGTCCAATTGAAGCACATTTCAGCAACTATAAGTCACTGTACAGCCTTCAGCTTTGAGCAAAAATCAGCTTTAAAAGGCCTTTACATGACAAAATGTGAAACAATAAGATAAGAGCTAAGACTGAATAATGATGGAAAAAAAAATATGACAGGCTTCAAATAACAACAAATGCTTAATAACATGCATCTGATTCATTTAGAATATGACAGGGTTAAAAATGTTTGCAAGGCCCGACCAAATGTCTACTTCTATTTATATATATGTTTACAAGATTACTTTAAACCTCATTATTAGAAAAATTGCCAAATGTTCTTTTCTATTACATCACTATAACTTTTTTGGAAATTCATATGCACAGCCTACTGATGAGTCCCATTGCATATGATCACATTTAAATGTGTAAAGGGGACGAAACTCACAAGGCCAATTGATGCTGAAATTATTCACTGCAGTTCCTGTATCAATCCACATATTTATCACTCATATTATGAATCTTTCATATTATTATTTTTCATAAATTTCCTTTATCAAAAGATTTGATCAACTGCATTTTAATTGAATCAGTATTATTCAGCCTGGCCTTGGGAGTCTAGGCAGGATGTTTTTAGCACAACAAAATCAAACACAAAACTGCAACGTATTTGCATAACCTCTTATATCCATAAATTGAACTAATATATATACACATAAGAAAAGAAACTTCTTTTGTTTATACATGTATATATATATATATAATTCTTATATGATTTGCATATTAGAGAATACGTTGATATGATTGGTCGCCATGACTTCCGGTAGTTGTTTTTGACGTTGTTTATTTTTCAATATTTGATGTTGACTGAACTTCTTTTTGTAACCAATGTAAACAAAATGTCACAAACATACAATTTACATGTGATAAAGGTAACGAGGGTGAAAAATAAATTCCTTATCTTCAATTTAAAAGAAATATAAGGATTAAACGCCTTTTTAGAGGAATTTATTGGTGAATAAACTGGACCAAGTCAGTAACAAATATATCATAAAAGTAATTCAGACTTTTATTTGTTTGTGAGTGAATTGGTCGAGTTTATACACCAATAAAATCCTTTAAAAAGGCGTTTATTCCTATAATATTAAGATAACAAACGAAAAGCTGATATATCTATTTAATTTCATGGTTTTAGCATATAAATGTAATTATCATGATTATAAGAAATGAATGCTTCTTTTTATATTTTTTTAAGGGTTGTAAAAGCAATGATTGTGTGCACATTTTTAGAATGAAGCAATTCTGTGCTTGATACAGAATGTGCTTCCGTCAATGGTTTTAAGACCCAATAAAATGATAAAAAGACACATTCAATTCGTAATGATAAATGTCCAATTTATTTATAAAATACATGTACATGTATTATAAAAAAAAATAAAAATCTATCATTTTGATCTACATATGTTTCAGGATGAAAAATGCCTGGTACAGGACTTAAATCGTATCCCTGTATAAAGTGCAAGATAAGAACCAAACATGAAAATAGAAGACCGATAAAAAACAAAGTTAATTTTATCAAATATCTAACAGAAGATCTAGGTATTACTATAGAAAATGACAGTGTATGCTGCACTAAATGCCTTCAAATTTTTTACCGCATACAGTCTACCAAACAAAAGGAGTGCAGAGAAATTCAAATTAATAATACAATTGACAAAGATCAATCTTCAGATTGCGAAGAAATACAATTAGATGAGACTGATGATATAAATAATGATCCTGACTATGTTCCAGAGAATAAAAAAACTAAGAATGACTCCAACACAATTAGTCCTAAAAACATTCAACTACCTATATTTTGTACAGGAAAAGGTCACTCATCTTGTTGTTTGTGCAAGAAAAGGGTTGCAAAGATGACAGTTATTTCTCCAGATGCTAGGTATAGACTTTTTATAGAAAAGGAGTGTCTACTTTTGGCTGGTTCAAGATGTTGTTCACATCATTTAGTGAACAACTATTTTGATGAAAAATCTTTAAAAGACATTAATTCTTTTGCCGGAAATTTTACAGATTTCAACCGAAGCCAATTGATGCAGCTTATTTCAAATATTAGGACAATTGCATTAAAAAATATACGTTCAAGAATAGATTTTGATAATGATTGTTTAGATGACTCTGACTATCTAAGTCTCACAGGAATTACAGTCGCAGACTTTAATGATGTTTGTTCTCATGTTTTGAACATTAGGAACAATAAAAATAGAACAAGTAGAACCTGTGTTGCATTACTTCTTGTAAAATTAAGATCTGGAATGTCAAACAGATTATTGTCAACATTATTCAACATGGGGAAATCTAGTGTACGAAGAGCATTAGCATCTGCCAGAAAGGAACTCTCCATCCATTTCACACCAAAATACCTAGGCTTCAATCACATTTCACGAGAGAACATAATAAATAATCACACCAGACCACTTGCACAAGAACTTTTTGGCACTCCTCATGAACAGCAAGCTATTCTAATCCTAGATGGTACATACATATATACATTCAAAAATCAAATAACTTCCATTTCCAGCGAAGATCTTACAGCATGCATAAAAATAGACCACTGGTAAAACCAATGATAATTGTATCAAGCACTGGCTACATACTTTCTATTCTTGGCCCTTATTTGGCAGACCATAAAAATAATGATGCCGGTATTTTAAAACATAATTTGAAAACCAATATGGAAAACATGAATGAATGGATTCAGCCTGGAGATGTTCTAATTGTAGACAGGGGATTTAGGGATGCATCAGAAATGTTAGATGACTTCGGCATTCAAGCTGAGATGCCAAAGTTTTTACCCAAAGGCCAAAAACAATTCACAACCGAAGAAGCCAATGCTTCTCGCTTAGTTACAAAAATAAGATGGGTAGTTGAATCCGTAAATGGCCGATTAAAGCAATGGAAATACCTTCAAAATGTAGTGCCAAACATACAAATACCCTATATCGGTGACAATGTCAAACTAATTGGAGCTATATGCAACAAATACAAGCCGCCATTATCTACCGGTGAAAAGGACAATGATCAAATCTTGGCTGCAAAAATGAGGGTAAAAAATTTACAAAATTATACTCTTTGATAACAGTGGTATTAATTCCAATTACAAAACTACCCAAAAAGATTAGACTTTGTTTATCCGACTACTTTCACAACCAAAACTTACAACAATGGAGCTTGATTTCACATATACTCATAAGAAACATGTTTCACCCTTATTTATAATAGTGTGACTTGTTGAAAGACAATATTAATTAAAATAATTTTAAAAAAGTAAGCATATTTTTATCTGTTTTGTTGATATGAATCCTGGAAAAATTGTCTCCCAAACTTAACAAGAAAGTCCACTGGACATATATTCCTTTGTGACTGAGGTTGCCAATTTACACATAAATGTGAATTGATAAAAAAGTGTCTCATTTCACAAAAATGCATATGTTAATTGTACACAAATGCATACATAAATACATGTTTTTAACTAAATATTTCAGGTACTGTCCAGGAAAAAAAATGATTTGCAGGAGAGGGTAGAGAGAGAAGGGTTACATAGAAGAATATGTTCTTGGAAAAAGATTGATGCAGATGATTCCATGCCTTGTTTTCCTATGTTGTCAGAAGAAGAATTGAGAAACATAACTGTTGGTGTTTACCAATTAAAACTAGCTAAATCTTACACACAGGAACACCTCAATGATGAGAGTGAATTTATAATAATGATAAATTCAGATCTTGAAAGTATATTAAGGGTACAAATTCAGAGCAGACATACTTCAGCTAGAAAATACTTGATATGGATTGAATATGATGAGATTGAGGTTCTAGAGTTGTAGGCACATGTGCCCATGTTGCAGCTGTCTTGTGGTATTTAGGTTTTGCACGCCACATGGACAAACATAACGGAATTAAGGACTGGTCAGAGTTTGTTGAAGATGCAGCAAAGATTCCTGTTTTAATTGATGAATCTGACACTGAAGAGGAATTTCCTGAAGAGTGACATACTGTGCTTTATTAAAAGAAATGCATTTAAGCAGTAGTCTAGTTAGTGTGTAAGCCGTAAGGGAATGTAAGGATATAGTCTTATTAGTCTAGTAGATTAACATATTGTTACTTTATTTACAGTTATTTTGGTTGGGTTTATGGTATTTTTGGGTGACAAGAAGATTTTTTCCAAGTGATGAAATAATTAGGTTACAAAAAATAATCCTTGGCTAGGGCAACATTGGAAGTGGGGTGTACAGAGGTGGTAGATGGCAGCTGTTCTCTCTTTAAGATAGCTAGGACACTTTTTTTAAATTCTCTGCAAACTTCAAAATAGATGTGAAGTAAACATAAAAGAAGCAGCAACCCAGTGACCAAAATAATAAAGACATTGTCATCAATAGTTATGCATTTAGAAAGTCTCTTATTTTTTTACTTCCCAATCAGTGTCAGACTCACCAATTAAAACTTTTAAAGCTTTGAATGAATATAATTTTTTTGAAACTGTGATATTTCAGCCTTATGATGATTCAAATGTAATGTTTCAGTCTGATGATGATTTAAATGTTATTTTTCAGTCTGTGATAATTTATATGTGATATTTTAGTATTTGATGATTTAAATGTGATATTTTAATCTGTGATAATTTAACTGTGATATTTCAGTTTATGACAATATCTAGAAATGTAATATGTTAATGCTTATGTATTGGTTATTCATTTTTTCTCATGTACAGCTTTAGTTGTGAAGATGCATCAAAAACGTCATGTAAGGTATGTCATGATTTAAATAAGATATTTAAGTCTGTGATAGTTAAAAATGTGATATTTCAGTCTGTGATGATTAAACATGTGATTTTTCAGTCTGTGATGTTTAAAAATGTGATATTTCAGTCTGTGATGATTCAACATGTGTTATTTCAGTCTGTGATGAGTAAACATGTGTTATTTTAGTGGGTGATGATTAAACATGTGTTATTTCAGTCTGTGATAAGTAAACATGTGTTATTTCAGTCTGTGATGATTAAACATGTGATTTTTCAGTCTGTGATGTTTAAAAATGTGATAGTTCAGTCTGTGATGATTAAACATGTGTGTTTTCAGTCTGTGATGAGTAAACATGTGGTATTTCAGTGGGTGATGATTTAACATGTGTTATTTCTGTCTGTAATGAGTAAACATGTGTTATTTCAGTCTGTGATAATAATTCAGTTTATGTGATGTTTCAGTCTGTTTGATATTTCAGTCTGTGATATATCAGTCTGTATGATGTTTCAGTCTTTGTGATATTTCAGATTTTGGTGAATTGTATGTGTTATTCAATTATGTGATTATTCAATTGTGTTATTTCAGTCTGTGTGATATCTTAGGTTGTGTGATATTTCATTCTGTGATGATTAAAAATGTGATTTTTCAGTCTTTGATGTTTAAAAATGTGATAGTTCAGTCTGTGATGATTAAACATGTGTGTTTTCAGTCTGTGATGAGTAAACATGTGTTATTTCAGTTGGTAATGATTTAACATGTGTTATTTCAGTCTGTGATAATAATTCAGTTTATGTGATGTTTCAGTCTGTTTGATATTTCAGTCTGTGATATATCAGTCTGTATGATGTTTCAGTCTTTGTGATATTTCAGATTTTGGTGAATTGTATGTGTTATTCAATTATGTGATTATTCAATTGTGATATTTCAGTCTGTGTGATATTTAAGGTTGTGTGTTATTTCATTCTGTAATAATTAAACATGTGATATTTCAGTCTGTGACATTAGTATTCTGTGATTTTCAATTATGTGATAACAATTTCAGTTTGTGTGTTGTTTCAGTCTGTGTGATATTTCAGTTTGTGATAATTAAACATGTGATATTTCAGTCTGTGATGATTAAACATGTGATATTTCAGTCTATGATAATTATGCTGTGATTTTCGAGTATGTGATAATAATTCAGTTTGTGTGTTGTTTAAGTCTGTGTGATATTTCAGTCTGTGATAATTAAACATGTGATATTTCAGTCTGTGATGATTAAACATGTGATAATAATTCAGTTTATGTGATGTTTCAGTCTGTTTGATATTTCAGATTTTGGTGAATTGTATGTGTTATTCAGTTATGTGATTATTCAATTGTGATATTTCAGTCTGTGTGATATTTAAGGTTGTGTGTTATTTCATTCTGTAATAATTAAACATGTGATATTTCAGTCTGTGACATTAGTATTCTGTGATTTTCAATTATGTGATAACAATTTCAGTTTGTGTGTTGTTTCAGTCTGTGTGATATTTCAGTTTGTGATAATTAAACATGTGATATTTCAGTCTGTGATGATTAAACATGTGATATTTCAGTCTATGATAATTATGCTGTGATTTTCGAGTATGTGATAATAATTCAGTTTGTGTGTTGTTTAAGTCTGTGTGATATTTCAGTCTGTGATAATTAAACATGTGATATTTCAGTCTGTGATGATTAAACATGTGATTTTTCAGTCTATGATAATTATGCTGCGATTTTTGAGTATGTGATAATAATTCAGTTTATGTGATGTTTCAGTCTGTTTGATATTTCAGTCTGTGATATAATAGTCCTATGATGTTTCAGTCTTTGTGATATATCAGATTTTGGTGAATTGTATGTGTTATTCAGTTATGTGATTATTCAATTGTGATATTTCAGTCTGTGTGATATATAAGGTTGTGTGATATTTCATTCTGTGATGATTAAAAATGTGACATAAGTATTCTGTGATTTTCAAGTATGTGATAACAATTTCAGTTTGTGTGTTGTTTCAGTCTTTGTGATATTTCAGTCTGTGATATTTCAGTCTTTGTGATATATCAGTCGATGTGATATTTCAGTCTGTGATATTTCAGTCTTTGTGATATATCAGTTGGTGTGATGTTTCAGTCTTTGTGATATTTCAGATCTTGATGAATTGAATGTGATATTCCATTCTGTTATTATTCAATTGTGATATTTCAGTCTGTGTGATGTTTTAGTCTGTGTGGTATTGATGAATTGAATGTGATATTTTATTCTTTGATGATTCAAATATGATATTTCTGTTTGTTGATATTTCAGATTATGTGGTATTTCAATCTATGTGGTATTTCAGTCATTGTGATATTTCAGTCTTTAATTGATGAATAAAATGTGAGATTTGTGTTTGTTTGATATTTCAGTCAAGTGCTCTTTAAGTCTGTGTGAAGAACAGTATGATGTTTCAGTATGTGGTATTGCAGTTTGTTGTGATAATAATTTGATATTTCAATATGTAGGGATTTAATTTTTTGATATTTCAGTCTATTATTATATTATCCTCATTTTTGTTCACTTGTATGTTTTTTTGTTAAAAAAAAGTGAATTCTAATGTCTTTTTCTGTTATAAAATAAGTTTTATATTTAAGGAATGACTGTAATATTTTTTCTGTCTATGAAGAAATAACATCAAAAATGTGGTGCATACTGAATAAACCACGATGCGTGTTATTTTAAAGTGTGAACCACATTTTTGATGTTACTACGAATAGACAGAAAAAATATTACAGTCATTCCTCATAATTCAATTCTAAATTCCATTTTAAGCCTTAGTAAATCATGAAAAACATTGACGACATCAACGTCACATGACAATATTATGTCTATGAGCTGATAGACAAAACACTGTCAGCCAATCAGAAGACGCGTTACATCCAAAATTAAATTATTTTTAATTGCACTGTTAAAAAAATATGTACTTCTGCTTTCATTTATGTTTTGTTTGTTTTTTTCGTTATCTAAAAACCCAGAAATCCTCATTTTTTTGTTGATGAACTTTAGCCTTAAAATGAGCTGTTAATGTATTTTTGTGTTACTTTATACATTTGCCTAATTGGTATTGTCAACAATGTCCTTATACAATATTTGCATTACTAATATCACTTATATTATTTTTGCTGAATACGTAATTTAAAATTCCCAGAAATCCTCATTTTTTGGTTAGTTTTAATGATTTTAGTCTTAAAAATGAATAAAAATGCATTTTTATTTTATTGGACAACTTTTGTATTGTTAATTGTACTGTTATACAAAATAAGTAATTTTGCTTTCATTGAAGTAATGTGTCTTTTATGTGTCATTCAAAATTCCCAGAAATCCTCAATTTTAGTTAATTTTTAATAACTTTTGTCTTAAAATGAGCTGTTAATGTATTTTTATGTAACATTATACAATTGGTATTGTCAACAATGTCCCTATACAATATATGCATTACTAATATCACTTATATTATTTTTGCTGAATACGTAATTTAAAATTACCAGAAATCCTTATTTTTTGGTTATTTTTAATGATTTTTGTCTCAAAAATTACTTATAATGCAATTTTTTGTTATTGGAGAACGAAAGTATTGCTAATTACATCCTTATACGAGATATGCACTATTGCTATCATTTATGTTATGTTTGTTTTATTCAAAATTCAAAATTCCCAGAAATCCTCTATTTCAGTTGATTTTTTATGGTTTTTGCCCTAAAATTTACCTTTAGAGGCATTTTTAAATTATTGTTTTTTCATGATAGCTTTAACTGTAGTTTTAAACAATATATGCACCATTGTTGTCATTTTAATTATGTTTATTAAATATGTAATTAAAAAAATTCAGAAATTCTCAAAAATTCTCTGTATTTTATTATTTTCACCCAAAAATGATGAAAACTTGAAAAAAATGATTAAAAAATTACATTTTGTGACAAAGTGGTCATCTTGCCACCTGAAAACCACTACAAAAAAATTTTTTAAGATTGGGCCAAATATGGCCCTTAATGACCCTACTCCAGATATTTAACTCGGATATAACCAAAGCTGTAAATTCA